CCTAAAATATACATAGACCATGTATATTTATAGGCAACATAAAGATAAAGAAAAGAAAACAACAAATCCTTCTCAATCTCTAATTCACATGTTTCAAATCTAATATGATTCAAATATCAAGTTGGGTTATGAGTGAGAATCCATTGGGCTTATTATTTTATTGGCTACAAGGAATTAATAATTGACCCGGTCCATGGACCCAATTCAATTAATTCATAAATTAATTTCTACTCCACTAAAAGAAATTAATTGAACTCCAATTAAATAATAAATAACCTCTAAGTCAATATTGCACTTTAATCCCTCTATGCATAATTAGTTATCGGATAAATAAAGGCATCAATCCGACTACTTAATTAATATATTTGTTTTGGTACCTTTGATTATTTCTGACTCGATCACAATAAAACATTTGTTTGACAAAAATAATAATTTAAATAAATAAATATATAATAAATTATTTTGTCTAAAAACACACGAAGGCCTTCGAATTTACTTTGTGATCAACCATAATCAATACAATATAAATACAAGTAGCAATGATGCAAATATTGAAAATATAACCCTCTAACTATTAATTACATAACTACCCAAAGTGTCGGTTTAAGGATCCCGAAGAATCCGTCGAATAAATCAAAGTAATTATTAATTAATAAAAGAGTCTATATTTTTCTCATGCTTAAGAGTCAAATGCCATGACGGTAATAGAAAGTAATTGCATACGACGTCTCTCGCAATATATCTCAACTTAACGCGGATCCAGTTCAAGTCTTAATTAATTATGAGTTTATCCATAATTATCGACATTTATATTTATGTATGGATCGTCATCACATACATATATAAATATCTCTTGTAATCAAGTGAACACTATCAATTTTATAATAAATCGAAACATAATATATTAGAATTCACCAATTGTATAAAACATAAATATTTCAGAAACGTCAGGAACTTATGTCACTTTAATCCAAATAGAAATTTGTTATGCCAGGGCATATAAATCCCAATAACTACCCCAACATACTCCTTTCCTCTTCTTCCTATCATCATCATCATCCCCAATTAACCCATCAATCTTGCCATATACACACACATACAAAACAACCATATATATATATACACACACACACTTACAAAACAGCCATATATAGATATATATACAGACACATACAAAACAACCATATATATATATATATATAGACACACACACATACAAAACATCTATTCCAAAGTAAAGAAATCCCAACTTTTTAATATCATATCTTGAAAATCCGTCATTCCAAACACACCATTAAGACACCATTATTGCAATGTTAAAAATACCAAACTTAAAAAAGAAAATGGTGTCAAAGAGTCGTGGATGGTGATGGGTTTGATTGATATAATAGAGTGAATGAGTAATTAGTAATATACAGAAAGTTGTTATGGGTCTCTGTCTCATTTTTCTTCATTGTCATCTTTGTCAAGCTCCTGGATCTCAATAACTTTACAGCTTTTGTAGCTGAATGTTGTTCCATGGCTCGCCAGACCCTTTCCGATCACGTTCCATCCGGAGTTCTTTGATTGGGTTCCAGAATAACTCTATCTGATTCTATGTTGTAAACTTTTTGAGCTCAACACATACACTTCATATTTTTTTCCTCCATTGAAGCTCTGTTCTCTTTCTTCCTTAGTTCCTTGAATTAGAAGGCAAAACAAACTCTAAAAGATAGGCAACAGTTCAATCACATTAAAAAAATAGTTATCAATCATCATCTTCAATTCCATCAAAGAATGCAGGGATGAACTATTCAAGAGAGAATCAAAATTGGGCTTTTTCTCTCTCTACAATACAAAACCAGAATTGGGGTTTTCCAATTTAAATCGTAGAAAAAGTGAGTTGAAGAATTAATCAACTAAATGTGCAGCGAACTAGAGAGAATGGTTGAGAATTAAGAGTGAACAAAATTTGAGTTTTTTCTCTATGGATTTCCATACCTAGTGCTCTATGTATATATATGGTTATCTCTAGCTCATATACACACACACACACATATATATCTTTCCATGGGGACAATCTTCTTGTTGTTGTGTTCTAATTTCAGTTGACATGGCTCTTCAACTTAAATATATTTTGTATTAAAATTTTAAGAGTAAAATGGTCAATTCAAATATATTTGAAGTCAAAAATTAAATTGGGGTGTGAGTGAAAGTTAAAATTAAATTCTTCATTTAGTTAAAAAATAACCAAACCTCATAAGGTGTTTATGTAATTTATCTTTTAAACTTTTGAATAAATGAACAAACATAAAACCTAATTTATTAATACGAAATGAAGAGTAAAGAAGCCCAACCTGGTGTAAACTCTTTCCATCCTCTCTTGTTGCCAAATTACAATATAATAAGATCTATTTTGGTTTGTGGCTTTATTCTTGGTGGAAAGAGTCGCGAGACATCCCTTCCACATGGGTTCACATGTTTGATATGGTTCCAACAATGCAATAATCCTTTTCACATCACGACACTTATTCTAGGAACATGGCTTGCTTGTCATTCTTCACAGTTTTTGTTTCTTTTCTTTTATCCTCTGGTGTAAATCATTGTGTATTAAAAACTTAATTGTACAGTTTCTCAAGATTGTCAGGTTCAATCAAAGACCTAGAAAATTATGGGAGCAAGAATGAATTTCTTTTAATAATTTTAACAATAGGAATATTTTATAAGTATATAATTAAAAAACAAATTAACAACAAGGGTATTTATTAAAAAAAGAAAAAATTCACGGCAATCTCCAATCTAGCCATAGGTCCGTGCCAGTGTTCAATGATTCATGCTCAATATGCAAGAGATGAGAAGTTCTGCAATACTCCAAGAGATGAGAAATTTTACAATACTCCAAAATAAACATTTTTATTTTTTTATTTTTTTTTATGTCAGTTAGATTATTGTTAGGTAAGACTGCATACCCAATCTTTTTCTCATCTGATTCCGATTTTGTTACATTTTCACCCACCCAAACTCGCAACGCCCTTGTTGCGGTTGGGCCACCCTGCCTACTCGGATGGACTCACCCCCGGACGCCTTCCGGGCAGGGCGCTTGGCGTGGGCAGGGCGCTTGGCGTGACACCGAATTAAGGACTGGGTTTGGCTCTGATACCAACTGTAATGGGTGGGCGCTTGTCCATTTACCCAAAAATTCGAACTGTTTGGTAAGACTGCATACCCACCCATTTATACCCAATCTCTTTCCCATCCGATTCCGATGTGGGACAAAATGACCCTTCTTATAACTAACCACCTTAAATTTTTTCATAAGAAACGTCAAGAAGCTGTATTTGTATGACAGCTCATTTTCTTATTCTATTGTACTTTAGGGTTTGGTAAGTTATGAGAACCAAAGAAATAGAAATGATTCGTTGAACCAAAAATAGGTAACAAGTAGAAAGCAAAAATTTTGTTATTGATACTTAATAAATGAGGGTTTGAATGGACTTCAATTCCATATTCTCAGGTAACAAACTAATTCACAGATTTTATTTCAATCAAGCCTAATAAATGTGACAGTATCACGTGAAGTCGCAATATATCACTGAATTTTTTTTTATGAAATATGAAAATGGTTAATGAGGAAATACCATCATTTCCAGTTCATTTTAGCAGGCGTGGCACCTACGCTAGGGGCAGATTCGTGGCGCCAACCGTGAGATGGCTGTCATGTGACTCCTGTCCTCTTTCCCTTCTCTAATTGCGCACCAACTTTTGTCCTCTCTTGGACAGATTTAGAAATAGCTACTGTTTCTGCTGTGATATGCAGTATTTCAAAACAGAAATACGTTTAGTAATTATAATGGGTTAAAGCAAAAATAAATAAATAAATAAATGTTTAAATGTTCGTAAAAAAATATTGAAAATTATTTAGGAGAATTATTTAAAATTTATGGTGTAAAAAAAAATATATATATATATGTATATATATTGAAATTATTTTGGACGTATTAGTGTGCCAGATAACATGTGTTTTCTTAACTTACATGAGCTCTGTTCGTGTTGTATAGGGTTTGAACGGGACTAGCATGGTCTCGTGGGGCACGTACATGTACCCTGGTTATGCTTGCCTTTTATTTTTAACTTGCCCACATAATTTATAAAAATTTAGAAAGTGTACCCTGAAATTATTATTTTTTTTAAAAATACTTCTTCTAATTCTTGTTATTTCCATTCTTACTCCTCTCTTTTCTTCTTCATTTTTTTTTTTCTCCTAAAATTATTTTCATTCACTTTATTCAATCGAACTTTTATTTTTTCTTTCATTATTCTCTCATTTATTTTTTCTTTATTTTTTTTTTCCTCCTTTGTTTTTCTTTATTATGACTAAACAACTGTAATGAGATTTAAAAATAAAAAATAAAACCAAATGTAAATAAAATTTTAAAAAATAATTCAAACATTTTTACGAAATATTTTGCAACAAATACTAAACATGTTTTTTTTTTTGGAGAATAAATCACACTACAAAAAATAAAAATAATCAAAATGCAAAATAGAACTTGTTGCCAATAATGTTTGTATTTTATGTTTTCAAATTTAATTTACTATAATTATTTTTTAAATTATTAAATATTACAATTAGCTAACCTGAAACAAATTTTCGGTTTTGTAGTCTCTTTGGTTTTTCTCGTGCTTAAAGAAAATGAAAAATATTTCTTCTTTTTCTTTTTCAGATTTGAAACTATTTCTGAAACAAATGCAACAATGTGCCCAACATAACAAATGTTATGAAAAAACGATTGTAATTTCTACCATTTATTTATGTTTTTTATCAATGTGAAAAAGAAATAAATAAAAATATATATTAAAAAGATTGAACAGGAAGGTTAGACCGTTAGATTACATTTTTATTTGATTTGTACTGTCGGTGTTTAATATACGCGTCTTTCTTTCTCATACTCAACAACGATTAAGCGTTTAACCCCTTTCTTATTGGACCTAAATAACAACGTATTCATCACAGGAGCAACCAAAGCTACCCAAAAAGTCCCACTTAAAACACCCCCACTCACTCCACACACTTTCTCGAGAAAAAGAAGCCAATTTTCCCACTCACCACGCTTTCCAGAGAGAGAGAGAGTGAAAGAAGCCCAATTCAAGTGTGAGAGAGAGAGAGTCTGACTGCTTTGTCGACGAAATGCACATCCACGCAAAGACCGATTCGGAGGTGACCAGCCTCGCAACGTCGTCGCCGACTCGCTCACCACCGCGACGGCCGGTGTACTACGTGCAGAGCCCGTCACGTGACTCCCACGATGGGGAGAAGACCACGACGTCGTTCCACTCCACCCCGGTGCTCAGCCCCATGGGCTCGCCTCCCCACTCTCACTCCTCCGTGGGCCGCCACTCCCGCGAGTCCTCCTCCAGCCGCTTCTCCGGATCTCTCAAGCCCGGCTCCCGCAAGGTCTCGCCCAACGACGGATCCGTCGGAAAACACCACCGGAAGAACCAGAAGCCCTGCGACGTCATCGAAGAAGAAGGCGTCCTCGAAGACGAAGAGTCCCAGAAATCCCTCCCCCGTCGCTGCTATTTCCTCATTTTCATCCTTGGCTTCTTCCTTCTCTTCTCTCTCTTCTCTCTCATCTTGTGGGGTGCTAGTAAACCACAGAAACCCAAAATCACCATGAAGGTTGGTTAGATAGATCACATTTTCTTCATCAAATTACACTTTTGAATCACATTTTTTTAATGGGTATATGATTGATTTGGTTTTGCAGAGTATTACATTTGAGAGATTTGCGATTCAAGCTGGTTCGGATTATTCAGGAGTGGCTACAGACATGATCTCCAGCAACTCGACTGTGAAATTCACATTCCGCAACACTGCAACTTTTTTCGGAGTCCATGTTACATCAACAGCTCTGGATCTGTCATACTCTCAACTCACAGTTGGATCTGGAGATGTAAGTACTACCCACAATTTAACCCAAATACGCATTTCTAGATCTCAATTACAAATGGGTTTTAATTGATTGTGGTACTGCAGATGAAAAAATTTTATCAGTCGAGGAAAAGCCAGAGATCGGTGGCTGTGTCGGTGATCGGAAATAAGATTCCTCTGTATGGAAGTGGGGCGAGCTTGAGCAGTTCAACGGGGACGCATCTGACGGTGCCTGTGCCTCTGAATCTGAGCTTCACTGTTCGATCGAGAGCGTACGTTCTGGGTAAATTGGTGAAGCCCAAGTTCTACAAGAAGATCGACTGTTCGATTGTGTTTGATTCCAAGAAATTGAATAAACCCATCTCGCTCAAGAATTCATGTACCTATGATTGAATGCAGGAGTCATTAAATTTTTTATTTTTATTTTTATGGGATAAAAGAGTTGTTAGACAGTTGGCTACTTTTGCTGGTTCACTTTTCTTCAAAAATGGTGATGGGAAGACAGCTAGACGGGCAGGCTTTTGAGTTGTTCGGGCAGGGTGGAGAGACGCGGTGTTGGAACCTTTTTTGGCTGCCCGATTGCCCGGTAGTGCAATGACGTGTGTGAATTAATGACCTTTTACAAGTTACAACCCACGCACACAACTAAAGGGGTTTATTTATTTATTTATTATGTATAATGTGGAAAGTAATATAATTTATTTGTTAGTGGTTTCATTTATTTGAGTTGTTCATGTTAATTCAAAAACTTGAAATTTTGAGGATTTGGTCACGACTCATGATTAATAACCTTGTTTTGTTGAATGGTCCATGCAAGAAAATGACCAATAATATGTTATTGGAGTGCCACTAGTAAGGTGTGTGCACTGTGTGATAAATTGACAATGATAGGAGTAGTTTTGGAGTTTTATTTTGTAATCTATATGAAGTTCAAATTGACAAGTCTTCTCATGAAATTAGCACAATTCACTTGATTTTGATCGCTTAGGACATGTATGATAGCTTAGGACATGTATGAACTCTGGTACAAGGGTCAGTAATGCACCTAACACGCCAACACGTCGCCCAACCTCTAATTTTTTTTTTTTGACATAGGAGTGTTTTTGACACTTCATAACCGTATCTATAATTTAAAAATATATTTTATTTAAAATATTTGATCCAAACATCTTGGACAATTCATTGATACATTTCAGACGCTTGTTGAACACATTTGGAACAATTAAAAATATATTGCAGAAGGGTATAACCAATAGTACTTATTCATCACATATTCTTCTTTATATATATAATAAAAAAAAATACATAACTGTTTTGAAAATAATACTGTGAACATATATTAACGTATCCCAAAAATTTTATTTCAATTGGAATTTGGTCCTCTTTCTCCTTATTTAGTTTTCTTTTTTAAGTGACATTCTACGCATGTCACAATTTGTAATGAACAATATAATAACTCTAATGATAAAATATGAGAGTAATGCCATATTATAATATAATATTTTTGATAGTTCATAACTTATTTAACTTTAATATAGAGTTTTAAATGCATTAATTACTTAAATTTCTATTTTTATGGGATTCTACAGACATTATTTTTTTAGATAAAAATACTTTTAAAAATTATCTAGCATTTTTCTTATCTTAATCGATCCATACGGGGATATGTGCGCGCGTGTGTATATAATAACTAATGTTATGTGAATGGATGTTGTAAAAGGGAGAAAAAAAAAAAAACAGTTAGATAGGATAATCAATTCACAAGGGATGGATTTTGAGGGAAAAAAGAGAGAGAAAAGAATCCATATACAAGATAGATTCTGAGATTTTTGGAATAAAAAAAAAAAAAAAAGTTTTATGTATAGATTCTTTTCTGGCTCTTTTTTTTCTTTTAACTTTTCTTTTTATTCTTTTTGGATTTTTTTCTACCTCCTTTTTTTTTTTAACTTTTCTTTTTATTCTTTTTGGATTTTTTTCTAACTCCCTTTTTTTTTTTTTTAACTTTTCTTTTTATTCTTTTTATTTTTTTTTTTCCTTTTAATTTTTTTAGAATCCATCCATCCATTGTGAATGAATTATTCTATCTATATTTTTTTTCCTTTTTCAGAATCCATTCACATAACACTAGTTATATATATACGCACACATCCTCAATTAAAAGAGGAAAGAAGAAGAAAGATTAAATAATTTAAAAGGATATTTTTGTCTAAAAAATAATGTTTATAGAGTACCATATAAATAGAAACTCAAGTAATTAATGCATTTAAAACTAAACAATCCTAACTGTGACCGTGAATAGGCCTTGCACGATTGCAATTAGCACTCCTTAAATAGATACTATAAAGTGATTACAATATTATAATTGTTTTACTCGATAGATATATAAATGAACTTTGTAACACGTGTCTCAAAATTTTTTAACCTATCTAATATTTCTCATAACACATTCTTAACAAGTGTTCAACATTAAAATTGAATTTTTCAGCAGTAATATCATAATATGATGGTTAAGAAAAATTTAAAATTTATTCAACATAGAAGTGTTTATATATATATATCACAATTTGCTTAAAAAAAGTATTGAAATATATATATACACATATTTATCAGGTTTTAGTACAAAACTTATCCATACAAAATATGCAATAGTATAACTCTCAACTCATATGATTTTACGAATAAATGTTAATAACAATATATATAACATAAATAAGTATTAGCTAAATTCATGCATATCTAAGTTTTTAAAAATATATTATTGTCCTGCCCTTGCATATCCGTATTTTAAAAATAGTTGTATTATGATCGTATCATATATGCGTATTGAGTCGTCCGTATTTAGACTATCCATGTCCTTCTGGATCAGAGGGTGACAAAGCGGGCTAGGCCCGCCACTTTCCGGCCCAATTATTCATCATGTTCCAACCCGCCCACTCAACTCAATAAATAGTACGTGGCCTTTTTCATTTTTAATTTTTGTTTTTTTAGTGAATTTTTAGGATTAGTACAAAAGTATCGATATCACCAGGGATAGATTCTTTCTCCTCGACCACCTCTCTCCAGTCTATGAAATTCTCTCTCTAGCCAGTCATGGCTATGCCCCAGCACCAATTCCAACAGCAACAACGATCAAACAACTTCCGGTAAGTCTTACACAGAACCAAAATAATCATCTTTAAAACCCTAACATCACCAAGATTTAATTTTTAATCAACAGATTCTTTAAAATCACCTATTAATTCAATCTTTTTCATTTTCTTTGTCTCGTTTTCAGGAACTTGTATAACATCGACGGTCAGATTCCGCCGCCGGTTTCCTATTTCAACGGCCCTAATCTCGCCGATCAGTCTCAGCATCCTCCGTACATACCTCCCTGTATGCTCTATCTCTCTCTTCTCTCTCCAATTCAAGTTTATGTTGCCCCAATTGCATAAATCATCTCTGTTATTCCAGTTCACGTGGTAGGGTTCGCACCTGGTCCGGTTCCTGCCGGTGATGGCAGCGATGGCGGAGTCGATTTGCAGTGGAACAATGGTTTGGAACCGAAGAAAAGGAGGCTGAAAGAGCAAGATTTCTTGGAAAACAATTCACAGATTTCTTCTGTTGATATATTGCAGCCCCGATCAGTCTCCACGGGGTTAGGTTTGTCACTTGACAACGGTCGCTTGGCTTCGACGGTGGACTCGCCATTTCTTGCGTTTGGTGGAGACGACATTGATCGCGAGCTGCTGCGACAGGAAGCAGAGATTGATAGATTCATCAAAGTTCAGGTTCGGTTCTATATAAAGTTTCTATCTTGGTAATCAGGTTCGGTTCTATATAAAGTTTCTATCTTGGTAATACATTTATTATACTCAATTGGGTAAATGGGGGTTTTTGTTTTACTTTCCACATTTATAGATTGAATTTGATCTACAGAGAGAAATTGGTGGATGATTATTTGTTTTGGCGTATGTATTAGACGATTCTATGTGAGGTCTGATTGATTTACCTGCCAAGTAAATTGTAGTTTTTTCTTTTTAAATTTTATGCGTGTTCATTAATGTGAATACTAAGTTGGGGAAGTGGGATTCATAATTTCTGTGGCGTCTGAGAATCCCATGAAAATTTATATTGAACTGTTCCACTTCTTCAGTCAGTTGATGTGTATTTACCTGCATTTGTTAATTTTGGAGAGTGGGGGATCCCACCAAAATTGAATAAGTTAGTTGGATTTATCGAATAAATATTCAATCAATGCAACGGCTAAACCGTGTCATTTGGTTGATAGGGTGTCACAAATCTATCGTCTCTCCATGCAAATCCATTTTGTTGCACTTACTCTGGTACACTCATTTTGGGAGTATTGAGGAGAGGTAAAATGGAGAGAGTAAGTGAGTGAGTCTGCAAGGACGCATTTGCATTGTAAAAATTAATTGGTTTGTGATACCACGTAAGCAAAATGACACGGTGTCACTGTTGCATTGATTATCTACTCGAGTTTACCCAGAAGTCACAATGCAACATGTTCTTCAATGTGAATACTAAGTAGGGGAAGTGAGAGTCAATATTTCTGTGGCGTCTGAGAATCCCATGAAAATTTATTGAACTGTTACACTTATTCGGATAATTGATTTTCATTTATATGCACTTGTTAATTATGGAGCCAAATTGAATAAGTTAGTTGTGTTTATAGAATAAATATTCAGTGCAACGGATAAACCATGTCATTTAGTTGTAGTGTCACAAATTAATTGTCTTTCTATGCAAATGCATTTTGTCGGGAGAGGGGAAATGGAGAGAGTGAGTCTGCAAGGTTGCATGGTAAGAATTAATTGATTTGTGATACCATGTAAGCAAAATGGTACTCGAGTTTGCCTAGAATTCAAAATGCAACATGTGCATTAATGTGAATACTAAGTCGGGGAAGTGAGTCTCATAATTTCTATGGTGTCTGAGAATCCCATGCAACTTTATTGAACCATTACACTCATTCGGACAGTTGATGTGCATTTATCTGCACTTGTTAATTGTGGAGAGTGGGGGCATCCCGCCAAAATTGAATTAGCTAGTTGTGTTTATGGAGTAAATATTTAGTGCAATAGATAAACCTTGTCATTTAGTTGATAGGGTGTCACAAATCAATCGTATTTCCATGCAAATGCATTTTGTCACGCTCACTCATTTTGGGAGGATTGAGGAGAGGGGAAATTGAGAGAGTTAGTGAGTGAGTCTGCAAGGATTCATTTGCATGGTTAGACTTAATTGATTTGTGATACCACGTATGCAAAATGACACGATGTCACCATAGCATTGATTATCTACTCGAGTTTGCCTAGAAGTTAAACTGTTAAAATGCAGCCACTGAGTTCGTTTGTAAATTTTTTTAGAAAGCTTTAAATATTTTTTAAGTTTTTAATTTTTTAATTTTTAAGAAGTTATTGATTTGGTGGTGAATATATCCTGCTAAAGGAGTTTGCTTGCGTGTTCCATAATTTTAAAAGGGGCCACTGGGTTTCTATAAACTTGTAAAAAGTGTAAAAGCTATTCTTTGTACTTGTACAAAGCAATGGTATCTAAGGATTTAATGATATTTCCTTAAATTTGTTTATTTTTATGATAATTATTACATCACACTGTCTGTGGTACAACATAAGCATTCAACTGCAATGGAAAATGTAATGCCCTTTGGTTGCGTCTGGGCATCTCATAGAAACTACATTAATAATTTAAGTAACATTAGACTATAGAATTCCAGCATTGTGTATGTGGTCATTGATTAAGGGTTCAACCATTGCATGGCAACAAATCTCGGTCAAAGCTTTTCCAATATTGCTATTTGTTATTGTAGATATTTATCTTCTAATGCTATTTATAACTCGATGGCACCAATTAAATTTCACGTGACATGCAAATATGACCTGATCCATTTTCCATTCAGCTTATGGATGTGAAACAAATGAATGTTTTATCGAGTTAATTGAACTAGGCTCTCAAGCAAATGATTAGATTTCCAACTTCAAATAAGTGTGGACCGAATTATAACCCAGAAACCGTTGTCTTTTTCTTTTTTCTTTCCTAATCTCTCTCTTCCGTAGTGAAATTTCAGCAGTTCAACTGACAAATATAAGCTTGGAATTTTAGATAAATATCCTTGTAAATTGATTTTATATGTAGATATTTGAATTAAAACTTCTTATTTTCCTGGTTATAAAAGGGTGATCGATTAAGGCAAGCAGTTCTAGAGAAGGTTCAGGCCAACCAACTCCAAACTATCTCATACCTTGAAGAAAAAGTCGTTCAGAAACTCCATGAAAAAGAAGTAGAGGTGGACAATATCAACAGGAAGAATATGGAGCTTGAATTGCGGGTGGAACAGTTGGCTCTGGAAGCAGGTGCTTGGCAACAGCGGGCCAAATACAATGAAAACATGATTAACACCCTTAAGTTCAACCTTCAGCAAGTCTACGCGCAGAGTAGAGATAGTAAAGAAGGGTGTGGTGACAGTGAGGTAGATGATACAGCCTCTTGCTGCAATGGTCGTGCGATTGATTTCCACCTGCTTTGCAAGGAGAGCAATGAATTGAAGGAGTTGATGACATGTAAGGTTTGTAGAGTCAACGAGGTGTGCATGCTTTTGTTACCTTGTAAGCATCTCTGCCTGTGTAAAGATTGTGAAAGTAAGCTTAGTCTTTGTCCCCTGTGTCAGTCCTCTAAGTTTATTGGCATGGAGGTCTATATGTAGTGAGATATGTTAATGTCTAATGCTATGTTACATGCATTGTTCTTACTGTGTGGGTAAATGCTTCATCCTGGCTCATTCTGTACTTCCTTAGCACTTTATATATTCTACATGTTCAGAGACTGTCTTGAACATCTGCAAATGCTGCATATCAGTTCCAGAATATTCCCCCTTCGATGGTGTAATATGTATTGCTCTGATTATAAGTCAATGCTTGCTTGAATAGATTGCTGCTTGTTTTGGGCTGCATGGGGAGCTCAACTCAACAAAGATCCATGTAACATACAAATACAGCAAGGCAATAATTGTTTTGAAGCTCCATGTAACATATAAACACAGCAAGGAAAATATTTTTATTTGAATTTCTAAGGAGAAATTGGCGATCATTGACATGATTCCTCTTCCCATGTAAATTTATGTTTAAGGCGTGGTTTTGAATCTTAGCATGCTCCATGGTGTATAGAATAAAATGGTATCTGAAAATGTGTGTAAAATTTGAAAAAAAAAGGAATGTGGTTATGGATACATTACATATCAGCTAAAGTCGTAAGGAATTACATTATTGTTTTATATGCCTGACATGTTTTCCAAACAATGGGATCTATACCGTAATGAAACAATTTTACTGTGGTCAGTCACTATGTTGGTGAATTACTTCTGGGTTTTTTATAACATCAGGAACATTGTCATCTGGCATTCTGATGCATCCCTATGATGGGGTTTCTTGTAAGTTGAGTGCTTGATTGATTATTCTCATTCTTCTCAAACATTTATTTATTTATGTATTTCTTTTTTGTTTTTGGGGTCATAGTTAGCATTTGTTGTGTGTAGACTTAGATGGGATATTTTTTTAAATTTATGTTGGGTCCTTGTACGACATGAAAGAGCTCGACATGGTTATCTGCCAAATGGAATTTAAGGTATTTTCTTGTTTTTGTTTTTACTCTTCGTAATATTGTTAGGAACTATTATAGGAAGAAAGAAATACAATTATACTAAGAAACACTTGTTTGAAGGATCAGTTGGTTGCTCATGTATTTACATATGCTTTTACATTCTCAAACATGATGTCGGAATTGTTAAGACTTAAGATATCTCTCTCTTTTGTTATTAATTATCAGTTTATATGAAAAGAAGTTCGTTCGAGGTTTTTTTTATGATTTTCTATATATCGAGTAGCTCTGTCTACATTCTAGATTAGAAAAGCCAATTGCAAGTAACGGTACTGATTGAGGTAGATGTATTTGGATAGAGTAATGATCAATGGAGACTGAAAGGGATTGATAGCTTTCTAAACTTTAGACTGTTTAGTTGTTAAAATCTCTTGGAATGGATCTCTTAATGACAAATACGGTAGACTTTTTAGATGGATCAATCACAGTGAATATATGGAAGAGATTGGTACTCTCTGTCTGTCTTACAGTTTCTATCCCTCTCTAATTCTGTTTCTCTTCTATGGATATTGAAAAACTTAGGAGTCACTTATTGTGCCTTCCTTTTATTGTCTCATTTATTTTCCCCCTTTCTCCCTCTAATTTTCTTGTCAACAAGAAGCTCGTAAGACATGGATTATCCTCTCTCTCTCTCTCTCTCCCCCTCTTATCTTATTTCTTCTTCTTCTCTCTCTTTCTTCCTATATTCTTCTCCTTCTGTCTTGTCAACAGATCTTATTCATCCACCATGTGTTTGAAAAGATTGTAGCTCATGCTAGGCCACATGGTTTGACATCACAGTAAATATCCTTGATATAAACCAACACAATATCATAGATTTTTTTTTTTTTTTTTTTTTTTTTTTTTTTTTTTTTTTTTTTTTTTTTTGTGCACGTGTCTGTGTTTGTTATTGTTTTTGTTTTTTGATTTTTGATTTTTGTCTTTTAACTACTGTATTTTCTTATTTTTAGATGTTTCCAGAGTTTTAGAAAAAGAATTTTGGACTTGTATTGTTACTATCTTGGGCAGATTTATTTAAATGAGGCAGTCATTTGTTATCTGGGCTTCAAAATGAGGTAATGTTTTCTTATTAATGAAAAGCTCTGAAATGCAGTGTGCCCTTCTTCATATCATATATTTTTGGTTATTATATCTAAATTTTAGTTGTTGCTTAAGAATACTATTGCATGTTTAGTCTTATAAAAAGTTGGTTTTAGGACTAGAATTTGGGACTTGTATTGTTTTGATGTTGGTGGAATAAATTTTAGAATATTTGAAAGAGCTCTAATCTCTCTCTCTCTCTCGTCTTTCCATCTAGTTCTCTATGGAAGTCCACTATTGCTACCTCCAACTGTTATCATCTTTATTATTCTCTCTTTTTCCATTACCTCGTGAATGAGGGGATTTGAAGACAGTGACATGTCCTCCCTGTTTTGTATCTCTTTTGTTTTTATTTTGTTCCTCTTTTCATAGAATTGAGTTTATTTATTTATTTTTGCAGAAAAGGAAAATTAGCACAAGTTTTTGTACACATGTTCAAAGAAATCACCAAGAACTTGTTGTACTGTATTCTGTATCTGAAATTTATTGTGTTTTAGGTTCTAGAAAATCGATGACATGCAATAAGTAGTAGCCTGATCCATTTTTTTCCCATATCAAAACATGGAAACAAAGTCTTTGTCACCGTTTGATGATATTTATACACCAATCGTTATAAATTGCCACTTAGGATAAAATTCAGGGCACACCTTAGTTAATTATCAGTCTACTAGTTATTGTAGCTTGTTTACAGTGGATTCTTAGATTTGCTCACACTCTAGGCTGATGTGGGTTCATCTTGTTTTGAACTCCCAAACTCTGGTCAAGATGCCTGTGGATCCATAATGCATACTGGTTCAAATATGATGATAGGTTGTAGGTGATCATTAGTGTAGAGTGTCTGCTCTAATCAAGTTTATCTAAGCTCAACATGCTCAGGTTGTTTGTAAGAAATAGGCTAATGAGAGACGAAAAAACGGGTGGGAATGTGTGATGTGATACTCCATAAGAAGTGTCAACGTCGTGGAATCAAATTTTCGTGGTATGAGATCTATTCTTTTATGGTTCTTGTACTAAAAAAGCTTTCTTGAATGTTTAGCTTTACAATGAAGTTTGTTTGGTGGTTCAGTTGCCTTGAATTCCTTCATGTTGTTGGCTGTTATCTCAAGCAGCCATTATTATGCCTGTAAATGTTTGAAATTTTATATTGACATTAGGAATATGTCATCAGTATTCTTGACAATAGTGCTGTCTATTTTGCTTTGTCATAACGGCTGTTTCATGAGGTTTGTTGTCTGTGCTCTCTTGCTGCACCTTTAGCTCGTCATTCAACTTTTCTGAAGTTGCAGAAATGGTTGTGCATTCTTTCGTTTTTGGGGAATCAAAGGTCTGCAAAACAGCGTAGTGAATGGCTATTAACATTTTGTGTTTTACAGTTCTTGTATATGAACCCGAAGTTTGTTTTACAGGTCTTAGTGACAAACTTATGTTTGCTTGGAAGCTTTGTAGATGTTTATTGGTATCATTGTTGGAAATATGTTCTGGGATCTGTGCTTATGAGTTATACAACGGTAGCGTGAATGGCTAGTAACATGTTGTGTTTTACAGGTCTTATATATGAACATGTGTGTGAAACCCGAAGTTTGTTTTACAGGTCTTAGTGACAAACTTATGTTTGCTTGGAAGCTTTGTAGATGTTTATTGGTAATCATTGTTGGAAATATGTTCTGGGATCTGTGCTTATGAGTTGTGCAACGGTAGCTTGAAGATTCAGTTATCTGCACGTTTGCTGGATACTAGACGGTAGACATTGATCCGTGGCTATGGACTTTGGGTCCTAGTTACTTGTTATGCAATAAGATTCTGTTAATGATTCAATAATGTATTTTAGCTAACTGGATTTTTTTGATGCAAGTTCTTGCTTGACAGGTTTTTACTGCACTTTATTGGCAATTCTTTCACCACGACACTTCGTTGACAGTGGTGTATTTTGTAGGAGATGAATCGAACAAGATAGTAGCAGAATGCTCAGGTAATTAACAATAAGTTTCTTGAGTGTAGATGTAGAGCTTTATTTTTCCAAAATCGGTGCAAATTAGAGTTGTTCTCAATCAACTTTTGCTCGAATTGGTTTTACCGCTTGTAAAGCTGTGATTGTCATACTTCATGTAAAATTCTAGCATACCCGGGGTATACACAGATATGCGTGGGAGTATGGGACATCTAACAAAAATGGCCCCACATAAATTTTTTTGTATTATAATGTATATTTATTTTCTTTAATAGGTTAACATTAACTTACCTTAATAACCTGAAACATTATTAATTTCTTTTTTTTTTTCCTCCCAATCTTCTACTCTTTTCCACCACTGTTCTAAAACCCGCTCAGGCCTCCTCTTCTCTCCAACCTTTTTCTTTTTAATTTATTTATTTTATTCAATCACACCTCTTCGTCTCTCCATAATTTTTCTTTTTTATTCATTTATTTTATTCAATCACCAACTTCTTTCTCTTCTCACCCTTATGTTTCCCCATCTCCGGGCCCAAGTATTGGAAGTTGGAACACACAAAAATTGGACAAGAGTAGAATTATTTATTTACAAATTGAGATTAAAAGACCTTCCGGGAAAAAAAAAAAATTTGAAATGGATTTTTTTAATTACGATTTTTCTTATAAAAATATTTAATAAGAATTCGTGTTGACGGATCTGGGTGTACGACTGTTACTAAAGCCATGTGAAACTCTGGTCAAAAGATTTCAGTAATGTGAAACCTCTGGTCAAAAGATTTTGGTCATGTGAAACTCTGGTGGAAAAGAGAGACCGATAAAAATGTGTGTAGAGAACAATAATTTTGACCTATCATATAAAAATGTGTGTAGAGGAATAGGAATTCTAACGACTGTGAAAGCAATGTGAAACTCTGGTAACATATATATATATATAATAGGGGAAGAATAGGCTGTGATCTAGCTACTTGTTCAAATTGTGACACATCATCACCTACTCATTGCCAACTCAGCACAGAAATAAAAATCTTTGCCATTAATCAAAATTAAACCTAAAATCGCAAAAAAAAAAAAAAAATTAAAAATCTCAAATCAAAACCCTAAAAAACCCATTTGACGATCTAAGATATATAAAAGATCAAATCATCCTAAAAAAATTATAAAAATAAAGATATATAAAAGAAGATGTTCGGTTGTGCTAATCTTATTCATATGTGATGCAAAACCCTAAATCAGATTTCATGGTTAAGATGAGAGAGAGATGTGTTTTGTTTGGAAGAACAATTTGGGAGAGAGAGAATTTGGGGGAGTTTCAAATTTCAAATGTGGTCTAAAACTATAAAGAGCGTTCATTACTCACGTGTGTAACTCTTTACATGTGGAACCTGACACTCAATTAAATAATATAATATATATTGTGTATAAAGATTTATAC